AAGACAGCTCATGGATTTACAGTACTCTAAAACCAACCCTGAAAACTGATAATCTCATTCACTTACTCTAACTTCAGTGCTGTTGTTGACAGGAAAAAAAAAAGTTACCTTAAGGCTTAAGGGAAAGTAACTTATTAAATTGTGAATGCAGCATTGTTTACTCTCCCATCGATTGGAAGCTAGCAAAATGCATTCTGGATCAATAATACAAACTTCCTAACATTAGCAAAGATTTTCACTCTTCTTACACAGAACAATATTCGTAAGCAGATTATCTAAGGGAGCCTGAGAAACCATGATCCACATCACACGAAGATCCCATGAATTTCATTATCAAAAAGTGCTTTATCTTTGAGAAATATGTCGGGGTTCAAATGGAAATATACAATGTAAGATCACTCGACACTTTCTCAAGTGAAGTACAAAGTGGAAAAGGAGCAAAACGATGGGAGGCTCTGCTCTCTGAACAGGCCTCGTGCATGTGACTTTTAGGGTGTATTACATTAAAATTGTTTTAAGAGTTAACAGTGGGATTTTATACCACTCTCTCTATTCTAAAACCTGAGATTGGACACCAAAGCAGTCAACTTTGTTACTTATCAGAGCAATTCTGATCCTTCCTAAAAACAGAAGACAACTCAATTGAATTGGTAACTCCAGGGTCAAAACCATGAACTTTCCCCAGGCGGAAAGGAGCGAGGCCACACGCGCATTGGACACAAAGAGTGGCGCGCGCAAGGCCTCTCGGTGAGTCACCTTCGCACCCGCGAGGTCACTTCCCTCCTTCCCTCTCACTGATCAAGGCCACGCTATTTGCAAATGAATATCTACTGAGAGATCAGTTGTGCATTGGACAAAGTACCGTAACTGGGTTAAAAATGAAAACAAAATTTACAGTGAAGAATACTTATGTGCATGGCTTACACACTCAAGCTTCTCCCTAAGGCCATCCACCTCCAGAGCAAGGCGGACGCCAAGCAATAGTTACGTCTCGATACCTTGTGCAGGACACTCTACCCTCCAGTAGAGCCGGTCAAGGTCACACGGAACAAAGCATCCTCAGCAACTACGCGCCTGAAGTGTGCAGCCGTTTTCAGACCACTCAATATGAGGGCATTATTATAACCAGCCTCTTCTGCCCACAACCCTGCATTTTTCAGATAAGACAGGAGAACTGTTTTGTTTTGAGAAAATTGAAGCTTGCGTCTCTTGAAAAGACCTGCAATTTACTGCCGGGCGAGGGAGGGGCCGGAGGGGCCGGAGGGGGCAGGAGGGGCCGGGCTGCCCGCCCCACCCCCCGAAACAGCCCCCTCGGCCTCCCCACCGGCCGGCAGCAAACCGTTGTGGAAAGTGACCTGACAAGTGGCCGTGTGCGCGCCACGGCCACAGCCCTTCTGACCGACTCCACGCCTCCCACGGCAGCTCAGGGTGTCTGCGTTTCCCATTGGGTTTCCACTTTGAGTTTTGGGTGCCATACAGACTCACGTGGCGCTCTGTGCAGCATATGCACTGAAGGCTTTCACCGCGGACTAGAACTGCCCCGCGACTCGAACCACAGCGGGGACAAGAGAAACCACGAGGCAACGGCGGGGTCTCGCCACAGAGTTTCGCTCTTTTGATTCCGTTCCTGCGACCGGACTGCTCGTGTCCAGAACGGCACTGGCTTGAGAAACACTCTACCAATGGTCGCAAAAGGAACTTTCGTTCCCCACTTCTTAGAAATTGGACTGTTCTGAACATGTGATTAGCTGGGATGTTTGCCAAGGTGAAAGGCCAAGCCCTAAATCACTGTTCGTAGTAGAGGATGAAAACCAGAACAAAAAAAAATCTGGTTGTTTCCCAGAGTCTGTAATGCCATTTTCTGACTGGAATTAACAGATCTTCTTTGCTAAGCGCGGTTTCTGAACGAGTTCTGAAATCCGGCCTCGGTAACAGGCCACACATCAAAAGAGCAGTCTCTGCGCTCCGCGGATTTCTACTGCCCCAGAACAGTGAGTGGAATGAGGGTCAGTGAAATGCTACAACTAATCCACACCCTTCTGTAATCTTCCTGCAGTGAGAAGAGAGACCGTGAACCACCCCCTGCAGGAGAAACAAACCTCTGAGATGGGTTAAGACTTAAAAACCCACCACTAGGACGTTTACCACTTAATCTTACATAGGCAGGTCAAAATTTTAATATAAATTACTTTTTCCAACACATAGCTTATGCATTCTTGGCTCCTTTTTGTGGAGGATTCTCAAATTGATATCTAAAGACTTACATATGATATATTACTGTTACATGGTCTAATGACTAAGAAAATTTCTCTGGTAACCAAAGCTGGCACCATATATGGTAGTGTTCTTGGCATATACTCTACATGCCTCCGGCCACTTCCACATTCTTTCTATTCAGCTAATTATAGCTCGGTAGCCACTGGCGAAGGACGGTGAAGACCCTGTCATTTCTGCAGAATAGAAAGGCAAGGCTAGTTACTGCAATTCAGCCAAACAAAAAGAAAAGAAACGATACACCAGCCCCTTCCACAGGGGAGGTACTGCACCTCTGCAAAGTCGAACTGGTTCACTGCAGCCGAGCAACAGAACCACCACGGAAGCAAGAAAACAAGTTGGTCTAAAGAGGAACTGTACACGGTACGAAAACGAACAAGTCACAGCAGTTAACTGAGCGCTGCAACCTGAATTTTCAGTGCTGCCTCAAAGTTGGAAACTGAAAGTTTCTGCAAACCTAACACCAGCTTCACGGCGCCCTTACTAAAACGGTGTAGGGATTTGTTCTCCGCAGCAAAGAAATCAACACTCAAAACACATAGGTCAATACAGCAGGACATTATTGAAAACAGCTGCCTTGTGGTACAAAATACAGTACGAGTATATACAGATGTCATTAAAACATCAAAAATACTATTGCTCCCATACAATTTAGGAAACATTCTTTGCGACGGAGAAAGTTTTTTTAAAAAAAGGAAAAGCTTTAAAAAAAAATCTGTTTAAAAAGTCTACTGTGGAGGATGAGAGTAGAGAAATAGTCTGAAAAGGGCACCAGTTTGTGGCTCGTCCACTTTTTTTTTTTTTTAAAAAAACCTAAGATCAACAGTATTCTGAATCATAGTCTAATTTTTTTAAAAAAAGCCTAATTTTATGTACAGTTCTTTCCCTCCCTCTCGGCCACGATGCATGAAGATGACCTTTTTGTAGATTACTTATTTCCCAATAAATACAAAAAGATTGTATAGATTGAATAATACCAAACTCAGATAATAAAAGGGTATGCAATAAATTAAATGGCAGCTCAGATAAAGGGCAGGCATGCAGTTAAAAAAAAAACAAAAACAAAAACAAAAACACAAAACTAAGATTGTGGAGGTGGGGTTACTTGCCTCCTGGTTGAGAAGGTGTCGCACAAAGAATACCTACAAACTTTGGAAAGAACGTTAGCTCCCGTTCAATTCAAAGTCGCCTAGGTCTGTGACACTTCTAGGAATACCTTGGTGATGGGGTGGGATTAACTTGATTAGTAAAAATCATTTCTACTGAAAATCCGTTTAAAATATAGAAGAGGCGATCCTTGAAAACCCCAACTTTTATTCTTGAAAAACAGCTGGATAAACTGGCGAAAGCCAGTTTGTTGAAATTTCAAGATGGTATAAAAATGCTTCCAGGACACAGTCAGCATTTGTACGTTCCCTTCATCTCCATCCCGATGGATTTCACCCTCTAAAGGGCGTGCTGCTCCAATCACTCAACCATCATTTGCCAACTTTGATCGGGAGGTACTGAAACAATGGATCGAGTTCTTAAAAATTTACTTTAAAAGAATAGATGATGCTGGAATTCTGGACCTGAGGATCTTTAGTATGTGAACAAATCCACAGACGGAACTGAAGGTAGGTGAAGACTTCAGTTTTGGTTATTTCCAACTTTTCTGTGAGGACGTATATTCCATTAAAGCTCAGGCTTGTAGCCACAGTTCCTTTTGTAGGTATCTTCAAGTTTAACGGTTGAAAATCCAGCCAACCAGTGGCCCAAAGAGCCGAATTAGCCAGCTCAGGCGGAACAGCCACAGGGACCTGGCTCTCATTCACCCCTACGCCATCTCTTGGTAATGACTAGAGACCGGGGGAAGGACTTTAGTGAGCAGCAACTAATCCACTCAAACAGTCCTCCTTGTGCTTGATGCCGGATTTCTTCCCGTGCCTACCTCAGCAACCCCCAATGTAAAACGGCTCTTAGCTCTGAAAAAAACTTGGCCAACTTCCAAAATCCTTTAGTAACAGCTTCTAGTTGAAGGATTGACATCTGAATCCACTTGCAACCAGGAAAACAATGCCACAAAGAGACACGGACACTGGTCCAGGTTCCACGCAAAACCATTTTAGACAAAATGGACCCAATTTGTTTCTATATTCCCCGGTGGCTTCTTGAATTCTCATTCTGCCCTGTCCATGATTATTTTAAAGTCGCACTCCTTTTCATGAAACCTGTACCCTCAGAACAGGGCAAGGGCCAAGGCCTCTCTCTTCTCAAGAATTCCACGAAGACCTAGATCCCCATATGCTGATTTCAATGGAGGTGAAGAGACCGACCCCACAACAGTGAGGTCGGCAGAGATCGTCAGGCCAGGACACCCAGGTAGAACACAAATGCAGCGGTCATGGATGCGTCTGGGGGACTCGAGTGTTCCCCGGCCCCCGGGCACGCAAGGATCTGCCCCCCTGCAGGGCTACCCTGGAGGGGTCACAGACCCCAGCTGGAAACTATGGAAACAGACGGTTTTGCTCAGGTTGTCTCCTCTTTGCAGGCTGCTGTCAGTTCCTTGGAACTTTGCTGCTTTTCTCGAATTGTCTGCGACTGTTCTTTTGTGGTTACTTCTCTCAATGAACTGTATTCTCTCTTAACTTTGCGTTCTCCCGACGGGGCCTCCATGCCCCGCCTCCACTAGCTCCCCGGGGATGAGCAGGAAGGGGGCTCTCCAGCCAAGGGGACGGGGGCGGGCGGGCGGGCGGGGCGGGGGCCCATCGGGGAAACGGCGCGCTTCAATCCTCGTCCACCTCCTCGCCCTCCGACTCGTCCCCGCCGCGTCGCTCGTACAGCTTATCCCTCTGCCGCTCCTGAATCTCCTTCATCTCGTCCGCGTACCGGCAAAAGGCGCCCCCGAACTTGCCCCAGGCTTTGAAGGGCACGGTGATGGCGTTGCGGTAGGACGGCTTCACCTCACTGACGCGCAGAAACACGCCGTACTTGTTGCAGCCCACGTCGAAGAAGAAGCGCTTGGAGTCCACGGTGATGGAGGTGCCTTCCGGGAGCTCGCCGTACAGGCCGCCGCCCGCGCCCCCCGCGCCGCCGCCCGCGCCGCCCGCCAGCTCGTCGTCGTCGCCGCCGTAGTCGTCGATGAGCTTTGCCAGCGCGTCCCGGAACTCGATGAGGCCCTGCGCGGGCAGCGCGATGGTCTGGCCGCTCTGCAGGCCGCCGGGCCCGGGGCCGCCACCGCCGCGGTTGACCGTCTGGCGGATGCGCAGGAAGCGGCCGCGCTGGTTCTCCTTGAGATCCATGTAGTACTTGCGGTTCTCGCGCACCAGGAACTCGCTCTTGAGCGCGCGCCGCGGCCCGCCGCCGTCCTCGGCGCCCGCCGCCGCCGCCGCCACCTGCTCGGGGCTGCTGGGGCCCAGCTGCGCGTAGTGCTCGATGAAGTCGCCCAGGTAGTCGCGGAACTC